ACATGGAGCAACGCACAACGAGCAGGCGTGTGTCTGGTGCATCATGGAGAGAGAGAAATATTACATTTCTATTTAACCTTAACGTAGATAAGCCTCCACAAAGACTGACCTACTACTTAAGATTGTTCTTTTAAGGGTAACAAACAGATTATGGAAGTAAAAGCTCCAAAAGGGCTAATATTTCCCATATCCATAGACAGCCAAATTGAATTTTGCTCACTAGCCTAGTGGTAGTTGCCTTTAAAATCTGATGTGAACAACCAGGAATGAGGATATTTTATTCAGCATATGACAGATAAAAATAAATAAATTTAAAAAATCCTGAACATATCAGGATTTGGAGGAAACTTCCAGGGAATGCAGCAGCAGCAGTGACACGGTGCTAGGTAGGGAGGAAAAGAAAAGGAGTAACAAGCAGATTGGGGGAAGCATGTAGGAAAAAGTAAGAGCTGTGAGGACTGGAGACCAACAGAACTAGCTCAGACCACAAGAATCATATCTTTGTGTTGCTCTTCCCATAAAAACGACTAAAGCCTTGCTCCCTACATTCTGTTCCTCTTTCTTTTAAGCACTCACGTTCAGATGAGTGACAGATTCTTTAACAAAGTCCCCTAAATTAAGAAAAAAAAAAAAAATCCATGTAGAAACACATCTTTGCAAACAGTCACTTCAACTTGGGTAACACATCTGTTTTCTTAGCTGTATGCACACAGAGGCACGCATGCAAGCCTCTCCCCCAAACCGCACCTTGCAACTCCAGCTCTTGCTGCCAAGAGTTTCTGATCGAATCCTCCGAGTCCCACGAACTTTGTATTACTGCATAAAAACATTCACTCAAAGTATTTGCCTCTCAAAATGAGTGACAGAATTCCCGAATTAGAGCCACGTCATGCAACACTGATGCCCTTCTTATTAAAAATGGCATAAACAAACTTACTGAATGACACAAATGGGATCCCGGCCTGGGGAAAGGAGAAGAAATCTGCTCCTGCTCTCCACGGGGAGAACACCTCCCGCCATCATTGCTTCAAAAGCTGTTTCTCAGCGTGACAAATTCCTATGAGAAATTCCTCTGAAGAATTCTACTATCTTTTAGCAGCTGAAAATAAGTAAAAAAACCCCCAACAGACAGCTATAGAAGATGTCAAAAAACCAATTCTGTGGCCTGACCGTGCTTCAAAAGCACAAGCTAAAATTTTACTGCACAGCCAAAAAAATCTTAACATCTTTTGTTAAACGCCTTTATTGGATTCTAGGTATTAACCATAAATCACCTAGCGGCTATAGCTCAGGAGCAGAGAGACAACAGAGAGGCGGTGTAGACCAAAAATGAAGGAAATGAGTTATTTCTGGTAGGCGCGCGAGAAAGAAGCTGCGGTAACTACTATTCACTCGGATTCCATGGCACACAGTTTTAGACGCCCAAGTCCTCATCTGAACAGTAACACTGCTCAACTTGGCATCTCAGGAGCCACCTTTGGACACATCGCATTTGCTGTCAAAGACCATACAGGTCAGTTCTGTAAATTCCCCAGACTACTTAACAGAGACTGAGGCGGTATCTGCTGGTCTTCAGGAGTCACTGGATAATTCTGAAAAACATGAGAAACTGGGCTACCTTCTTTTAACTAAGGGATGGTTGTCTGCACAAAGAGAATAGACGTGCCGAGATGATAAATTATGGAATAGATGAGTAAAAGTTCTAATGAGGAAAGGAACTTCCATTGCACCAACCAGCGCAGCTCTCCTCTTCTACGATAGCCCAGGGCCTAAAGCAGCAGGAGGCGCTGGATGGGTGCTTACGCCTGCGCAGGGTGAAGTCACCACTCATTCAGATTTTTAGCCAAGATAATCTGAACTTCAGTTCCCACGACGTTTATGTAATGGATCAATTATAATTTTTTTCAGAACACTGAGCTGTATTATTCTATCAGGCTGGAAGGAATGGGAAAAGAAGTAACTCTCTGATGCCTGGTTGGGTGATTGTGTCTAACGCCAAGGGTGCGCGGAGCCGATTCTTCGCTTCCGTCCACCATCTGTACATAGCGTAGTAATTAAACACATACAGAATTATAAAACTGGTACGTAGTTATACTGGCAGTCGGTCTATTGGTAAACGACAGATACCTGCAGTTCCCTCATATTATACTACAGTTTTAAATTTGGGCTTTCTTTACCTAAGAAAAGTTGCACGGTGACTTTAAAACTATTTTTCTAGTAAGCATTTTCAACATCACAGGCCCAGCTTCTATCATGGAACACGGGTGGGACTTCAACATCACCTCAGCCAGAGCTTTGCAACGAAGGCTTGTGAAGGGCCAAGGAAAAGCTCGCCGGGTTTTTCTGAGCGGGTAACAAAAGTCATCATATGAAGACTCACTGAAAACCCTGCGAGCCGTAGCACACAAGGTAGCTACGAGGAATATAGGTGTGCTCGTTGGACTGCACCCCCATCTTTATTAACTTGCTCTCTTACACACCTCGCTGCAGCCAAATTGCCAATCATTAACAACGGGGCAAAAGCCAGCGGTGGACCTGCTTGCCCACACCTTGTTCAGACATTTGCACTTTTTAAGCAAGCGTAAGATAGCGTCAGCCTCCTGCCGTATGACAACCGTAGCATTCCACACCCCTGCCTGCACAGATTTTCTTTTTTTTTTTTTTTTTTTTTTTTAGTTTTGGAGCTTTAAAACCTGTTCTAAAGTCAAGCTAAATAATTAGCTACTAACTCAATTTAACACATACATATGAATATTTAGGTACTCCTAAAACTTGACCCAGGACTTTTATTTTTGTAGCCTGAACAAAGCTTTGTGGAGCTTCTATATACAGCTGAGTTTAAGTAGTACAGCTGACAACAACTGGTTCAGAGAGAAGGAAGGATTCTAACCTAAATACACCATTAATTAAGAGATGGGGATGGGAACTGGGCCTCAAGCATCCTCTGGGATCCATGAATTATTATTTCTGAAGCATGGCTTAGTCCTCTGACAACCGATATAATGACATCCAAGCCTAAACATTTACTCTTAAATACATCAAGCCTTACTGGTTCTGATTATTTGCTGACTGCTCCAGCCACAACAACAAAATTACCCATGTTCGCTTGTCCGTCCGACAGTGTATTGACACCTGGCAAAATAGAAGCCAATTAATACTTTCACGGAGAAATGCAATGTATGGCATGTCGACTTTCTGTGAACTCGCATCGAAGTTCTAATTCCTTATTGAGTGTCTCTGAGCGGGCATCGCTGCGTAACCAGAACTACTAACGCGCACACACGACAATCGGACGCGAATGCCGTTACCTCTGCCTTCTGGTTTCCGCACTGACGCTCGTGTGGAAAACATCGCTGAATAATGAGGAGATGCTCGCATGCATTTGGTTGGAAAACTTAATTTACTTAAGAGCGGAACAATTATAGACATCTTTTGCTTTCCTTCATGGAAACCAGCTCTCATCAAGTCAGACGCTAAACGGAAAATTCTCTAATTTAATGTTAACATTAGTAAAGATGAAGATGCATTAAATGAATTTGAATTTTTCAGCAATGCTGAGAAGCACTGAGCTCTTTCATGCGTTGTCATAATAAACAAGAAAAACTGATTTTCATGGGGGAAAAAAAAAGAAATGGAGCTCTAAAGGAAGGAAACTGCAGTGAAGAACAGTTCCTTCCCTAACCAAATTGGTGATTCCTCCTCTGTATTGTCTTTTACATTAGATTCTGATTCACTTCTCTCATTGTAATTCCATTTAACATGCTGTTGGAACTATATAGAGCTGATTGGCAATAGCTTGAAAACAGAGCTGCACAATTTTTGCTCACTTCAGAAATTAATTTTCCCAGATAGATCAGTTTTAAGGAGTTGATATTTGGCCATCCATTTCTGTGAATACAGATCCTCTAAATGCACTTGGAATAAGTTAATTAAATAAAGAGACTTTAGAAAGAGCTTTGTTGAACTCCATATGGGTTGAGCCTAAGTCTGAATTCAAACTATGGAAGAAAAGCTGAGAAAATGAGGCCTGGGGGATTTAAAGATACTAAAGTACTAAATAGAAATAAGGGCTCACTAGTGACAATACAGTTGGTTCCATTACGTAGAAATCTAACAACGGGTCTATTTTATAGCAGTGAATACCCGGTCAGTTCTGCTCTAACCCTGTTGCAAATAAAATATGAGTAAGTGATAAGGCAGTTCTGAATAACGACAGCATTTCATCACTCGGATAAACTTGACATTAAGCCATAACAGCACAACTTAATTCGACTGAAAGGAAAAAAAAAAAAAAAAAAAAGAGGAAAAAAGAAAAAATATTTCAGAAGAAAGTACAAGAACTACATCTGAAATTCGGAGTCAATAAATACAGACAATAATTAGAAAGAATGAGAAAAAGCACACGAAACCACAATTCTGTGTAGTACCTTCCTTTGTCACTAGTAATATGTTCCTGACACCACGTTTACGACAGAGACCCATACATACATTAGGGACGTTTGTAGGCGGGTAGCGTTAGAAGACCCAGCAGAGTTCAGGTCTCTATAATGGTGACTACTAAAGACTACCAGCTAGGAAGTTATGCCTTGTGCTTATCCACAGCTTGAGAAAAGCAAACTTGTTTGATCAAGCTGCAAAGAAATACCACCACAGACACAGAAGGACTTCCCTGCCGCAGACAAGACGTTCCATGCATCTCAGTGGTTCCAGCACGGATTGTAGCCAGAACAGAAAAGTTTTCTGGTTTTACTTTCCAAAGGGGGAAAAAAAAAAAAAAAAAAAAAAAAAATCCAACTTTTTGGACCTATACTTAAAGAGAGTTGTGTCCCCAGTAGCTGGTCTCAATTCTTTCATGCCTCGAAGGCCGTTAAGCTGTAAGGTAATCAGCACCCCAGACGAAGAGGCCGTCAGGAGCAGCACCCTGCCCCCAAACTCCAGCCCGGCCGGGGCAGCTGTGGCACACATTATAAGCTGTACAGAACGCAACGGGCACGCATCTTCACCGACAGACATTCACGAGTCAGAAGACAGCGGTGGGAAGGGAGGGGGCTGTATGCAAATGTCAGAACTCAACTGCAGCTTGGCAATGAAAAATACTGTAATATTGTTGATAAAGCCTAATGAATTTTATTTGAAACAAGAAAAAGGAAGCTTTTCTCCTTCAAAGCTTCTACTGATTCATTGCTACCACTTGTTATATTTCTTCCTGGTTTTAGCACTACCAGTATCCAACAGGGAAATTCTTTCAAATTAAGTAGTGTGATAAATTAACATACTATTTGCTATGTTGATATAACTCATTTTATCACTATAGTTATGCAAAGGAGAACCGTATTTATCCTACACTAGATTTGTTTTCTTCTGACAAGGCTATTTGTCACCACAGGAAATTCCAAGTTCATAAAGCTGGATAGCTGACATTTCCAGTATAATATACTTTGCGAGGAGTAACAACCCTCCTAATCAATTTTGCCAGTTACATCAGCATTTGTCTTAATACGAAATCACTTTATCCCATACTGAAAGACCAACGTGGAGCTCTTCTCAAAGTCACGTAGACCTGGAGGGTAAGAGACTGCGTCATCATCAGCGTGGAAAGACCTAGAATAAACAAAGCAGCAGGCGACGTCATCCAGACAGACATAGATGGATAAGGAATTCTGTGATTGTAAAGTAAGAGCCAGATCTTTTACAATACCGTGTAAAACCATCATCTTTTATGAAGATTGTGAGAAAAGTTTATGCACACACCGCCTTTGAATTTTTAGCTCCAGATTGTAAAACATTTTTTTTTCTTGGGAAAAAGTAAGTGTCTGCAAATTCTTTTTGTATTCTGCTTGTCAGCGACCAGATGCAGTTCTCCTTTTCTAAAGCAAACAGTTCTGATCATCTGTTGCAAGTTTTCTTAGAAATACAGGTAAAATTTAAGCAATCATATTCAGGAGTGGAAAACATGGTTTTCTTCAAGACGGATGCTTGATTTAGGAATTTCCTTTCTGAGTTTAAGAAATGATAATTTTGTACTTTGAAAAGTCAACTAAGGTCAAGATTAATATCGCATCCGTTAATTAGTTTGTTGATATCATGAAGGCTTTTCTTGTCATCCCACTGATGAATGAGGGAAATTTGCACCTCAGCAGGTAAACATGTTTGATACTTCCTTAATCTACTGCACAGCATTTGCTGCAGCCCAAAATAAGAGACAAAGTGAAATAGAGAGTCAAAACAATTTAGAAAACAGATTACTAGTCACAAAGGAATATGAATGAAGAATAACTTTTAAAAATAACATATATTCTGGACTGACGTGTTCCATAAACATTTTCTTTGCTAATGGAAGCCTTCAGGGAACAAATACTTATTTCATATGCTTTCCATTCTGCTCGAGTCATTTTAGATTTCCACTGTAGCTTTGCCTTTTATTTCCTTCTGTTCTCCTTGCCTTGGTTAGATTAGAGAGGTAGGGTGTTAATGGGGTACTTGATGAAGATTGAAGATCTATTTTCTCCCCCCTTGGAGACCAGCCTGATTTGAACAAATTGAGGAGAGTGAAGCAGTCTCTTCACGTCCTTGGGAAAAGCCTTTTCCATCTCAGCATTTCCAGCTTTCAGACATGGTCCCCATTGTTCACAGAGAAAAAGAAAGAAAAGGTGCCAGCACAAGAAGGTTCTGAATCATTTCATGTAACGTCAGCAGGGCTGCAAAAGCTCCCTTTCAATCTCCTTTACGGTTGGTGAGCATGTGAACGCGAGGTGGATCCAGGAGGGGAATGCAGGGAACTAGTGCTTGCAGCTCGAACAGGGCGAGAAACAAGCTGTTGTCCACCAGTCCCCACCTCTGTTGTTGCCACTTCCTTACTACACTCATCCTTGTGGGTACTGTTTTGTGCTGGGCACTCAAAATGCACACAGTGAAACACCTGGAGGGAACAAAAAATGAAGATAAAGCAAAACGATTAAATGCTGGCAAAAGCATGATCAAAGTAAGAGGAAGTTTATATGGAAGTATGCAGACCAGAGCAGTGCCAAAGTACTTAGTCAAATCAGAACGTTGCACCATGAGGTCAGAAACATCTGCCCGTGGGCCACGAACAAGTGATCCAAGTGGAGCAAGTGAAGGCCTTCAAATTGTACCAACCTTTACATATGGCACTAAAAATCAGCAAGGTTCCAAAGTGGGTAAGAGATATTTGTAAGTGATTTTTTTTTTTTTCTTTGCCAAGTAGCATAAATACATGCTATCGGATGACAACAACAATTATATTAATTGTCTTAAACGCGTCTTATGATCTAATTACTTCCTCAAAAGATTGAATGTTCATACAGGCTAGAAATGAAATCGAAATCATTACCAATATGATTCTATTTCAAGATTGCCCTCTGCTGTAACAGCAATGGTAGCTCTCCAGACATATCCTGGAGCATCAGAAAGGCGTTCAGAGTACCCAAGGAGGCTGCTGCTTCATCAGCTGAAATATTTCATTTCAAACAGTGATCATTTTCTGATGTTTCAAACAATACCCGAGACCACTGTACCGGTGACTGCATCTTAGAGTAAGAGGACCATCTGTTTAAGCATTTTTTTCCAATTTATTTTCTACTTTACTTACTCTTCTACTTGTTCTTGAAGTGCCTGGGAGGAGAAGGGGGAAGAACTCTTTAAAATGGTTACAAAACTTCTTTCCACATGATTTCTCATTGCTACAAATTGCAAAGCTCTGACACATACTAACCAAATACATCTTTTCTTACACTGATTTTCAATTTGTGATTTTCTCAGGCACCGAAGTTTTACAGCTCAAGCTTGATGAACATTAGAAACTGAATTTTTTAAAATTATTCTTTTAACTTAATTTTGTATGCTTTTATGATATCTTCTATCATTCTTCTTGCAAGTAGATCATGTCTTCAAAGCTCTTCTCGCAAACAAAGGTAATCTCTTCTAATCTTAACTGCCCTTTCAAGTTAATGTGGGCAAAAGCAAATACCATAAACAAGACATGGGTATAGTACATGTTCATACAATACTACAGAATATTGTATTTTCTATCCTTTCTTCAATACGACCCAAAATCCTATTATTCTTTTTGACCATCCCTGCTCAAGTGCACACTGAGCAGATGTCTGCAATGACATGTCTGCAATAGCCTCCGCGTCTTTTCTGAGGAGGGAGCCAGTTAATTCAAATTCTGACAGCACACAGGAAACGAATAAAAAAGAAAACCAAAACATTCACAGTCACTGGTGGGTTTTTTTTTTTTATTCCCATTGTATCTTCTTGTCCCTCTCAGCGTAAGAATTCTTGCAGTTCTCTCTACAGATACATAGCGATGCATGTTTATATTTCTCTCCATACACGAATGCTCACCTAAAGATGTATCGCTATGCCTTTCTACATACACATGTGACAGATTACAGATCTATACCTGTACCCACGCATACACACAGGCACAAAACGTTTTTTTCTCTGCATTGCTTCTGGTGAGGTTTTTTGGTTTTTTTTTTCCTAAAGCTGAACTAATTTCTACAGTGGCATGAATTCTCTCCATCTGTTACAGTTCTGGAGAAGCCAATTTTTGCATTCGGCGACACTTCTTGAGAAGCCCCTTTTCTACCCAGCCCTGCTCCCATGTTTTTTAAAGGAACAGCGAGCGCCATTTTTCCAGCTGCATTTATCAGCGTCAGGATTTGCAGAAAAGAACTTTGTCTCATCAGTGCACCTCTGTAAGCCACCGCTTTCCTTGAAAGCCAGCACAGTCTAATGAATGGACGGAGGTCTCCAAGTCAGAAGATTCCACAATTCCACTGTATCCCGCACCAACAGCGTTTCTTATTTAAACCTTCACTTTACGCAGTGATGCATGCTTTTTCTTTAATATAGTATGGATACCACTGAAATTTAGCTAATATTAGTCTATAAAATCTGAAGTACCCGATTTTTAAATGGTAACTTTCATTTTTACCGGTTCTTTCATACTGAATGCTTCACACTGAAGTCAGCATCTGGCACATTAACACGCCTGGGAATTTCCAACATTATTTTCAGTTCCTCTGCCACTTCAACATAGAGAGAATACAGCTTGTGACAGAAACAGAGGATGGGGAAGCACAACTGAGCTCATCTGCTTCATCCGATGTCGGAATGATGTATTTCAGATCAGTATTACTAAAACAAACAATCCTGCCTGTGTTTCTCTCAAAAGGCAGAGATCGTCCTCTGATCAACGGCACGCTCAGGGGTATTTTAAGAAAGGTCCGACGTACAAAGCAGGAAGGCCAAGCACATATACACTGGTGCAGTAATCTGTAAGATAAAGCTCTCACATTAGCAACTAGGTGTCCTTTCCAGGTCAGTAATACTGAAGAGGAATAACAAGATAAAACTTACACAGTCAAAGCACCAGGTGACCTGTCTGACAAATAAATGATGGCAAGGATTAAGGAAAAATTATCTTTTTCTTTGTAAAAGTAGGATGACTGGAAGCTCAGGAAAAAAAAAAAAGTTGCACTTCTATCATGTTCTAACGTACCAAAAAATATTCAAATATTAGGTCAAAAAAATCTGTGAATATCATGTCTTTCCAAACTTGGAAAACACGGTAGAGATGAGTTTAAAAGATTAAATCATTCACAACATGGAGAAATTTTACGGGGTTTTTTGCAATTCCAAAAATCAGCTCTTCTCTTTGGAAAGTCTAGATTGTGCTTCAAAGCTATGTGTCTGTAGAAGAGAGGTAGGGAATATTTTTGCACCTATTACAGTAAAACTCCTTAATGAGAATATGCTGCCATTAGCATCTTTTCCTTAAAACGAGATCGGTTTGACAGAAAATACAACCAGCTGTGGGCAAATAATCCTGGAAACTGCTTGTGTTCTTAGTGCAGAGACCACCGAGACTACAGACTCCAGAACAAATCACGACTTTGGTTACACTGTTATCATATAAATTGGAAGTATGAAAAATATCTTGCTGCCTTCTTTCGAAAATGAAAATGTATGACAAAATGTTACAGAACATCTGTTTAATACGTATATAAAAAATGTGATTTCATAATATGTGCATGCTGATAATGTTCTTCCTCTACAAGCTTTATGAAAAATCGTTTTTTTTAAAAAAGAAAAAAAAGGGGGGGGGTACAGATTTTAAAGACAAAAGAGGAAAGGACCTAGAACAGCAGCATGTGTTTATAGTTCCACTGAGCCTCTACATGAAGAGCTATAACCTCAATTTGCACATACTGATCTTCAGTATAGTTATGCAGTGCTCCATAGAAATAACTACTATTAAATTCCTTAGAAACATTAACCAATTTGAAATTAGAATTATGTTCAAAAGCCCATTACTCTTCTGGGCTTAAAGTTACCTTTAAGAATTAAAAGTTGGAGGTAATGTTTTTTTTGTAGGCTGATTTGCTAAGTTTATTAAAAAAGAATGAGAAGCATTGCGTGAAGAGATGAGAACTTACAGAGACTGGCATGAGAGCAAACAAGACTGTCTATATGGATCAGGAATGGAAAAGGCCTTCTTCATGCCTGTACAGCAACCCTGGGGGCAGCTTCTGGTTCTGTATTTCTAAGAACTCACTGATTAAGGCTGAACCAACCGTACACCACAAGAGACAGTGCTTAGGACAAAAATAAATAAATAAATAAATTGTATTCCCAGTTCAGTTGATTGGTCAGCTTCTTTCCAGCTGTCTGCTGAGAACTGCTGACATCTGGTGGTGCGTACGTTTGCAATAATGGCTCTAATATTGCACATAAACAGTGCTATTTGACAATTCTTCCAATGCTTATAAACCAGCAACCCCCATGCTAAATATGATCAGAAATCCTGACTCCTAGAGTTGACAAATTCTAATTACTAAAAGCGCCTTCCAAAGTTCCCTGGGAAGTGTGAAAGTACACTGTTTTGTGGTGAGCTACACGTGTGGGATGTAGACATGCATGCATACAGACAGAAGCAGCAGCTTTTGATGCCTCTTATAATCTCGTCGTACAAGGGCCTGATCTCATAAAGACTTACATATATTCGTAAATTCACATACTGTAAATTGTTTCACTGAAGTCAGCTATAAAACCTGGACTCCATCTGAGACAAAACACAACAATTATGGAAGACGGAAGCACGGGCAAACAGAGGACGATATTGCACTTGGTCAGCTAGGGCAAAATATATTTTTTCTATAGAAAATGAATTGAAAAAAATCTCTTGGTTTAGCCACTGATTTACCAGGTATGAAAATTAATTATAAGAGAACCTTATGCAAGTAAGATTTTCTTATGAAGAATGAGATTTTTTTCTTATGTTTTATTCATTACAAAGTTCATATAAAGGTGATAAACCCAAGTAATCAGAGCCTATACACCTTTCTCTAGTGCACTCAAATGGTCTTTTCATCATTCATCAAAATAAGCATCAATTTAAAACCAAACCAAACAGGAATGTTGGATGGCACGGTGGAAAGGTCAAATCCAGAAACACTTTACTGTACTTTGTCTGTAAAACCCCCAAAATATCCCCCAGACTGGCAACAGCCCTTCAACTCTGCAGGGAAGACGATGACACCGTTCACAAATACCCAAATAAGAAAAGCACGCATTCTTATTTTGCTAGATTGCCAGAGCAAAAAAAAAAAAAATGAAGCAAGGACATTTTAGAAGGCATTAGCAATTTCATTGCAAGATATGAAAAACTGTACCATCATATATTCATGAAGAACACAGGTTTTCTTCCAAGTTCCTTACCTCATTAGCTGTGTTGTGAGTTCCGACTATTCTGATAAAAGATGCGGGCTGCTTATCGAAAGTGATTGTTTGCCAGGATCTACAAAACAATTCCAGAAAGACGTACAAATATTAAACACGGTCACAACAGCTCGCAGTAACACAGACAGAGAATCCATTCAAGTGACAGTACGTGCTATTATCACTTCACAGGGCAAACAGAGAAACACTTTTCATCACCTGAATTTCCAGCACTCCTTGTTCATTTTTATTTTTAAGTGCCTTGACTCTGCTTATGTATTTTCATACATACCTTATACTACTATAATCTGTGTGCAGGAACAAGATACTATTGCTGGAAGTTAAGAAAATGGTAAAAGAAAAAAATCAAAGTCTAAAATCCTTGACTAACATTGACTATATTAGATAAACAAAAGATCAGATAAAGAAAAGTAAATGCATCTATCTGTTAAGTACTCATGAGAAATCACCAGAGCTTGGTTAAAGAAAATTAGAGCTCTAGGGAAAAAAACCCACCCAAAAACTCAAATAAACTCTTCCCATTCTAAGTGGACCAGCGAAGGCAGAGGAGCCAAGCTTCCCTTGTGTGGGCCAAGGTCCTTCCAGTAAATTATGAATGGCATTAAAGCATTCCAGTCGTGAGGATTTCCCCATCCTGACACAGAGGCAGTGGGGAGAGCAGACCACCCCCCAGCACTGGAGTATAACTTTTTGGGCTAGACTGAGAACACTAGAGGTAGACTGGGACCACTATAATCTTCCTTCCTCATCCATACGCTTCTGATCTGGGTGAGGTACATCATCTCAAGTAGCCTAATATACAGCAGGAAAGGGACGCCAATTCCTACCACACCTTTGTGCTTACAGAACACACCAACAGTAAAATAGAAGGAAAAAAAAAAAAAGACTATTAGGAACTAGAGATTTCAGTTTGTTGCCAGTTTTCCACTACAGTAGATTAGTACTTGAACACATTAGAATTTAAATTATTTTATATTCATAAAATATGAAAGCTCGGCACAGAATTTAACTTTTCAGCAAAACTAGACTGTCACACAAGGCTGCAGAAATAAAACGTAGTTAAGTTTAACTTGATTAACTCACTACAGAAGAAAAACACCAGATAGTTTTCCTGAATGCGTTCAGAATACCTTCAGTAGCGTTCATATAAGAAACAAGGGACCGCAGCAAAACTGGAATAAAACACCACTCGCCCCCAGCAGCCTACCCAAAGCCTGGCAGTGCCAACAGCTTGGGTGCTGACTGTCAGGGACCTCAATTTTCCCGGAGTGGGAAAAACTCTTGGTCACAAATGTAGCATTTCTGGGTTTAATTTAGTCGACTATTACTTTTATATCAGGGCTGTCAGGTTATATTTGCTTAAAGAAGATTATGAGCCCAATCAAGACCTAATTTCAAGTCGTTTACTGGTATTACTGCATGAAGTAATGGACATAATTAGAGTTACTCATCATAATAGAAAGGTGCGGTCTGCGTCAGGCCTCAGAGGTACAGCACTTATCTATCTAATGGTTTATTTATATCCCTTATGTGGTGGCTATGTCCTTACTTTAAAGCTCAGGCTGTTTGAGCTCTAAATAAAATATAAAATGAGAATGGACTATTTTGTTGACTGTCTCAAGAGCTGAAAGATTGCTCTGATTTCAATGTTTTCTCCCCCCGAAACAGGAGACCAATTCTTCTGGAGTTTCCTTCCCAAATTACTCTAGTACAGCCAGCCAGTTAATCTTCATGGCCAAACGGAACTTGTTACCTTGAGGTATAGAGTCCCAAAGATGAGTGGCTGGGAGAATCAGATGATTGCAGCACTACTTCTCATCACGCAGTTCGCATTATGCACATGCTTTCACATTTACACGCGCACACTTTACGCAGGGAGAGTGACGACGTAAAAATCCGATTTCTGTATCTAGTGATTTGGGAAATATTCTAAAGCTATTCTAAATAAAAGAATTCCTAAAGGAGCCATTAAGAACAGCCTATGCCTTCCTAGCTTCTCAGGCAGAGTTTGTGTTCTGTGACAAAAAACCAGGTTAATTAGGGATCGCAGAAGAGAATATAAGTGGGTCTGTACTGGTTTAGGGTGCTTCTGAGCGCTGGTCAAATACACACTGCAAGATTTCAGTGCGGATTTCCCAGAGATGGCAGTAAATGCCTCTGTCTGTCCTGTGATGTGACAGCAAGGAAGCCGACACATCTATCTGGGAATACAGCTGAAGAGCGTGACGGATACTGAGGTTGAGAAAAAGGCCTCTGAAGATCCATTTGACAACAGACTTCTAGATCAGCTCCTCCAGGAAGCTCCAAAGTTCTTCCACTTCCCACTGCCTTACAAGTCCTTCCTTTCTGCTACAATGCTGTTATTAGGATTGGACTATAATTACCCTTTTAATAATATTAAAACATGAGAGAAAACAGTGAAAAAAATCCTTGAGGATGTGAGACTTGAAGGGAAATAGGGTTTTCAATAAATTAAGTCCTAAGAATATTTACTGGTTTGGTATGTGCCCATTTTAGTCCCTTCCCGTTGGAAAAAGAAAGTCAAAATTATAGAGTTTGCAGAAGAGATACTAAAATTCAAATTATTAAAATTCAAGAATATTGCCACTGAAGGATTAGTACTTGATGGGACAATGAGAAAGTTAGGTCTCTTAGTTTATTCCCTTCGTAAAAAGGAAAAAAACAAAGTAGAAGAAAACCCAAATGGATTTGGAAAAAGTCACTTTTGAAATAAGCAAGGCAAACCTTCTTCACTAGAAAGTTGCACTGATTTCAACTCTAATGGTACGTTTGAGAACGCTGCTATATACAAAGCAATACCTCCCCAGTACAGATATAATTATGCAGCAGAGAGATAATTTATGCGGTGTAACTATGCCCATATGGGAAGAGAGATTACTGACAGAACGTTATCAAGGCATATCTGCCCGCTTTTTGTATTTTTTGCTGATATAACAAAGTCAGTAAGACTTCTATTTAGGTCCTAACCATTATTCAGTGGTGTTCCTCCATTAAATTAAAGATGCCATAGGTAAGCCTTAAGTTTCTTTTTAATCTTCTTTTACTACTAGTTATCTCTTCTGGGGCTATTGTAACAATTTCAGTTTCTCTGTACAAATTTTATTTTGCAAATTATTTTGTAGTGATGCCATGCTCTATGTGCTTATTTTATATTTTCCTCACGAGAGCTAGTCTTTCTATCCTCAAGACCGCTTTTGATGGCCTTTACAAAAATTTCCTCCAAACTTTATATATAGCTCTGTTATTGATTCATACATAAGTCACTGTATTCTGGGAACAGCAGCGTTGAAACATATCAAAAGCACCTCATTTTTGGTCTGGGATTAGACACTTCATAGAATCACAGAATGGTTTGGGTGGGAAGGGACCCCTAGAGCCCACCCAGCCCAACCCCCCTGCAGGGAGCAGGGACACCGCTAACCACATCAGGGTGCTCACCGCCCCGGCCGACCTGGGCACTTCTGTGTAATAGATGCCATTCTTTTACCTCTACTCCCCATATGCCAAGCAAACAAATCCTTCAAGCTGGTGCCAACACTTTCACCTTCTTTACCTAGGACACGCTCATAAAGAAGCTATCAGAATTTACTTCTCCCATAAACCGACATTGTTGTCTTTGGACTTTCTGTATCTCTGTGCTCCTTATTAGCAACCCTATAACAAATTGATTTTCAGGGTTTAGCTCTTTTAATCATTCAGGAAGTGTTGATCTTTTTTTCTGCTTTCACACCTGTCTTGCTGGTTGAGGCGTTTCAGATTTGCTGCTCAATCTGCAGTGGTGCTGGTCATTGCTTTCACAACAGAAATAACCACTTACCTCAAGCTGAGGTTTACATCTCCAAGAGACGACTCGGGACTAGCAGCCTACTCAGATTTATACCGGGGTCCTCAAGCTGAAATGCAGTACTACAAGCTGTTTGGCTAGCAAAGGTCCCCTGATACCACAGCTCCATTTTCCAAAAGAAATTAGCCTTGTTACAGTCCTACAGTGTTTTATTTAACACTCTACATCTCACCTCAGCCACCTGACTTCTAACTCTCTCGTTCTGCCCGACTCCCCTAAGGAGATGCAGTAATTGATGATTAGCATTCCAAAGCCATGCTTGCATCCTGTGAGCCTGTCATATTTAATTACATTTTAACTATATTCGTCTTCTATAATAGCCCGAACATAATTTAGATAATTATCTTTTGCTCTCTTATTCTCTGACTCTGCCCGTCTCACTTAGAGCTCCTTGCAATGAAAATCACTTTCTCTGCTCAAACATATAAACAGGCTCTTGGGCCAAGTGCTTTCCTCTCTCCAACAGCAACAGCTGTCACTGAACACTCAATGGCTTTGTGCATCCCGCAATCTCCTCACCATATTCTATTCAGAGGAAGAAGAAAATCATTAGAAGAAACCCCTCCACTTCCATGTTTCTTCCTGTCTTGTTCTTTATCAGGCTATTGCGAGAAGAATGCAAGAAGTGCTGATGTCCAGGTAAATGAGAAGAATAGCCTGCTATTGCTTAAGCTATCTATAGCTCCAACATAGCAATTTACCTCTTAAAGAATTTAATGGCTTTTCGCAACATTTGGAAGCCTTGCCTAGTTATTTCTATGAAAAGCTGCTATCTTTCTAAAGATTTATTACATATAATAGGATATAAATAGTGACTCTTCCCTGCTGTTTCCTTCTCTTCCAGAAAGAACAAATTAAGAAAGAAGTGGAAGCTTATCTTTTATTGAGGTTTTCTGGCACTACAGAATACTACCACACTGTGGGATCACCAGCGCAGCACTGATTATAGCTGAAACCAAATTCAGGCCAAAGACGTAAGAGGAAAGAGAAAGCTGTTACATGTAACTAACATAGATCAAGCTGTAATAACCATATCATCTTCCTAGCACGGTGTCCTGGTTTCGGCTGGGATAGAGTTAATTTTCTTCCTAGTAGCCAGCATAGTGCTGTGTTTTGGATTTAGTACTACAAGAATGTTGATAACACACTGATGTTTTTAGTTGTTGCTCAGTAGTGCTCAGACTACTCAAGGA